TCCAGAACATGCAGCTGTAAAGATTTGTCACTGCAGACCAGAAATTGAACTGTTAGAAGTTTGTTTTTAGGCCATATTATTTCCCCAGAGTTTACAAGAGTTCTTTTGTTGACCGCTCCCATTCCACTTTCTGCTGTTGCCAACACTGTGTGTGATGTAATCAGTTCTGTTGTAGCGAAGCTACAGATTCAACAGCCAAATACATTTGTGGCAATAACTGGTGATTTCAATTTTGCCTCACTCTCTGCTGCACTGCCCATTTTCCAATAGTTTGTCATCTGCTGTACAAGAGAAAAACCTTGGACTTGGTTTATGCAAATATGAAGGACTTCTACATCTCTACAGTAAGACCTCCTGTTGGGAAATCAGATCACAATTATGTTTTTCTCAGCCCACATTTAAAATTACTGCACAACGTTGGTCACATGAAGCTGAAGAAGACCTGCAAGGTAGTTTTTGATATTACAGACTGGAATGCACTGTGTCAGCCACATGGAGAGGACATAAGTGCAATGACAGAGTGTGTGACTGACAACTTAAACTTCTGTGCAGATAACACCATCCCAACAGAACAGTAAAATGCCTTCCAAATAATAAACCCTGGATCACAAGCGATCCGAAGTAATTGCTTAAGAAGAAAAAAGAGCCTTCAGGAAGGAATACATGGAATTACATGAGTATAAAGAAGCATCTTAAGGTCAAGATATGAGAAAGCAAGGAGGCATAACGGAAGAGGCTGCAAAGCAAGCTACAGCAGAATAATATTAGAGTTGTGAATGGGGATAAGTGAGATCAAAGGCTTAGGGAAAAGGATGATCAGACAGATGGTAGTATTGATAGAGCCCAGCTAAACTAAACAGATTCTACAATAGGTTCAGTTTAGTAACATGCTAAGCGTATTTCTCTCCTACCCACAGTTAAATTAACATCTCACCCTCCTTTGACCTAAAGCTTCTCTGTTACCCCTCAAATGTTTTATCTTCTATCTCTGCAATTGGCCCTTCTGCTTCTATGTGTTTTTTTCCCCCCAGTCAAATCCGATGATTGAGGCTGCTCCCTCCACCTTTTACCTGTGTGTTTCTAGAAGTGAAGAGAAAAGGCAGCTAGAGAGACTGAATCATAATAAGTCATCAGGTGCAGATGGTGTCAGCCAAACATTCCTGAAAGCCTGTGCAGAGCAGCTCTGTTGGATTCTATATCACCTTGTCAACCATAGCCTGACCCAGGAGATGGTCCCAGTGATGTGGAAAATTACCTACCTTTGTTCCACTACCAAAGAAAGCTCTCCCTACCATCCTCATTGACTACAGACCTGTGTCCCTGACATCCCACAACATTAAGGTCCTAGATATACTCCTGTTGGACTAACATGCAGCTACCATAAACCCCTCAAGTCTGCTTATCGTTATGAAGTTGGAGTTAAAGATGTCGTTATACCCCTTTCTTAAAAAAAAAAGCCATTTAGACAAGGCAGACAACACTGTGACGATAATATTCTTTGATTTCAGCCGTGCATTTAACATGATTCAACATGACTTACCTTGTGAGAAACTCCAGAAAACTCAGGTGGAGGTATCATAATTATTAAGGATTAATACCTTCAATGTTCATCTGGACAACATACTCAACTGGAGACACAACTGTACAAGAAAGAACAGAGCAGACTGTACCTCTAGAGGAAGTTTACTTCCTTTGGCGTTTGCAGAAAGCTGTGAGGTATCTTCTATAAATCTGTTGTAGAGATTGTCGTCTGTTTTTTTCTCATTATCTGCTAGGGCCATAGCATCAGAACAAATAATTTTTAAAAAAGTTCAACCAGCTAATAAAGAAAGTTGGCTTTGTTCTAGGAACCTCTCTAGAACCTCTAGAGATTATTTCACAAAGAAGGATGCATCTTAAAGGAAAGAAATTATACATTTCGACATAGATAACAGTTAGTTAAGAGGTCAGTGCACTATATACAGTAAGCACATCAACAACAAAATAAAGATAAATTTACTCTTCCAAAGAAAAAGGGGAAGTAAGCATTAAAAATTAGCAATGTCTAATAGCAACAAATTTCCTGTTCAACATAGGGAACTAAAAATTTTATATAAATGGACATGAATCTTTCTCAATAGTATTGCTTCATGGTGTTTGACATGAATGCAAATAAAAGGCAAAACACATACTTAACTTTTTTTTTAAATTGATATAAAAATGTCTGAACTACAAAAAAATCTAACGTTTAGCTGCACTATTCAGGAAGGCCTCCATAGAACAACATTTAGGATGGATAATGGAGTTTAGGAACCAAGTAGCTTTTATCCTGCTACAACAGACAAACAAAACAGAGAAGGAACAACAGAGGCGGAAAGCCCACAAGATGCAAAAAAGCTAGTTTGCTCTAATGCATTCAGATTCCAGTTACCTGCTGATTTTAGCTCTGGTTCAATATGTCCTTCACCAATTTAACTAAATCATCCCCACGATAAGTGCAAATGGAAGTAATGTGGTTCATGCCACGTTTTCATTACTCAGATAGTAAAATATGATTCCACCAAAACCTCAAAAGTAAAAAATGAAAGAGGAGCCAATCTTCCAGGGCTGGTTAAAGTCTGTCTCACTGTTGTAGCAGCTGGAATGACCAATCGACATGTTTCTAAAAGAAAAAACAAAAAACAAATGTTCCTTTCAATTTTCCTACTGCTGAAAGCTATAATGCCTATGGCTTCCTGCTCTCTGGTTCTAATTGTGTTAAAGTTTAAAGATTTTTTTTTTTTCATCTCTAACAGACTGTCAAACCCATTGTCATCATTAATGTTCCACTGTTGGTTGAATTTGTATTGTGCCACACAGATGCAAACATTTAATGGGATTTTTGGAAAGAAAATGGCATTCTCAGTCTCCCGCTGAAGCAGACATGTTTTTGTTTTATTTAAAAATTAACAAAACTCTACAGTAAATGTGTTCTTATTTAGAAAAAGTCAAACTCAAATTTATTTACCTATTTATAGCCCCTCAAAAACTTAATTTTTTTGGCACATTCTGACCACTGGGTGTGGAAAACAAAAGCATTTCTTTTGATTTTATGTATTTAATGAACTTGCAGTAGAACCAGCCCTGATTTAGTGGTAGAACCTCGACCTTGGTGAAAAGCCCACTAAGTTTTAGATTTTTATACATCTCAACTTCTGCATCAAAGTGTTGCTCTGATAAGGTCCCACTTGCAATACTGAATGATTGTATCTAATGGATGTCTTCAAAAATGTCAGTGTTTTTGTTTAGTCTTTTAATTTAACTAATCTGTTAGTATTTTTGTGGTTTAATATAATTAAAATGATGATGGAGGTGGTATTTTTTTTGGTTTATTTTTTGGGCTTTTCCTGTGTTTAGTGATTTCTGCTGTTTAGAATGAATAATTGTAGTGTGCATTTTTCAAAAATCTATTTTGTGCCTAAGTAGGATTGTTACTTATAGGTAGATTCTAAAAATAAAATCCTTATTAGAAGTATTTTTTTGTGTTATGTAAGATACTAATTGGATGGTTTGTTATGGGGGTAGTGTGCATGGATGCTTATACCAAGAGGATACTGGATCATTACACTTGAGCTTGTGCTGTTTATGGGCCTGTGTTTGTTTTATTTTGGTTCAATGCACCGTGTGGGAGGATTGCTGGCATTGGTGGGAACCTCAGCACGGTTTAAGGCGTCCGATTCAATCTCATTACCCAACCATCTCGAAAAGGAGTCTGGATGAGCCTTCGATTTCTAACAAATGTGAAATGGAAAGAAAGAGCATTTATATGAGGAAAAACAGCGTAAAAATTGTAGGCTCGTTTTAATCAGCGCAGCAGAAAGTTACTCATCATGCTTTCTGTTGAGTTTGGAGCAGTTTAGAAAGTGAATGGAGGAGGTGGATTTGGCTCCATCAACATGAAAATGGCACACACACACAAAAAGAAAAACGGGAGCTTCATTGAACTGCTTTTAAAAATTCAGGGGTTTTAATTAAGTTTTAGTCAAAATAAATGAATTTATGTTTTATTTATTTCATGGCAAAAATATTAAGAAAATACTTATACTGTCTTATTGTGATTGTTTGGGGATTTTTATTTTTTTGTGGTTTTACTGATGAAGTTAACCAAAAACCTCTGCTTTATTTTAGTTTTGATTATTTGTATTTTATGACTATCCTTACATCTAATAGCAGAATTTAAAATATAAATTACAGTTCAGTCAATGTTTTCCACATAGCACTGAGAAAGTATCGCGTATATCATCATCCTGTCAATCTTTTCCATGTCATAAATCAATGATAAACAAACTACTAAAGATAATTTGTTTTCTAAAGCTCCCATGCATCTGCATTTATTTCCTTTTTATTTTTATTTTTGCCTCCACCAGCCTTCTGTATAGATAAGTTTACAACTATCTGTCTAATCTCCTGATGCCATTAACAGCAGGAGGTTCAGGGCAAGGAAGCACGTCTCCATAAATATCACTGGTAAATGACAGGTTTTTGTGTCAGTAGCTGTAAATCAACACACTTCTCTGTCATATTTTTCTGTAACACTCCACAACCACACACTGACACTGTCATTGCAGAGCAGAGAAACTGCAGGTACCAATTTTACCAGTGGTAACTTTGGTGAAGGCAGAGAAAATGCTCTGTGCCGTATAAATAACTGGAACAGGAGGAAGTCACAGAGGAAAACTACAACTTTTCACAAATAAACTCTGCTAAATATTACAAGGTTGATGCAACCTTAAAGGAAATTCATGTAAAAGCAGCTTTTTCCCTTAATTTTTTTCTTGTACCTGTACCCCAATGAGAAGAACTCCAACCTTAAGCAGACATGAAACAAATTAAATTGAATAGCCGTGCACTTACATCCCGATCTCCAAACAGTCCTCAGAGCAAACTCAATTTTATAAAGAGGTGCTTTGTTAGAGGACATGTGGGTGAAATGGATTGATGCAAATTTACTGACAGGTTTCTTTGTTACTGTTTATCTTCAGAAGCGGATTTGAACAGGATGTGGAGAACGGCTACCATCAGCATCCCGATACCTGTCACGGTGAGACGCAAAACCCTTTATTTACATTGATTAGTTTGACAGGAGGTTTTTGTATAATAAAGTTAAAGTTGCATAGGGGCTTCTTCACATATAAAGTTTCTCCTTTTAAAATAATTGAAATTTGGGCTCTTTGGGGAATTTTATTCAAGAAAATCTGCTAATCCTTATATCTGATTGTAGATTGAACGCATCGAGCTGATCAGACTCAGGCTCTGAAGCGTTTTTTATGTTATGAATCTTACTGCAGCTGTTTAAAAAAAAAAAAACACTGAGAGGATGTCACATTCCTTTTGGAGTGTTTTCCAGGCAAAGCTGCTTCATTTTGCTTTAACTCCTCAAACTGTGGTAGTTTATGAACCCTCATCCCTCATCAGCTGCTTCCCATCTCATTCTTATCTACAGTATGAATGTGAAACCATGTATCAAAATGATCACATGCAAAATAATAAACAAAGATGGACTGCAAGACAAAAAATATGGCCCTTTGATTAGAATGGGTAATCATACCGATTACGTTTAACGGCCTATGGTCAAGGGACAATTTTTTTTAATAGATTTAGCTCCCCTCCAGCAGCAATTCAGTTGATTTTGTAAGTGTTTGAGAAGCAGTTTTTCAGTTTTGAGTCAAACATTAGCGACCATTTTGCATTTGATCATTTTCATATGAAAACTCTTTTTAAAAATGGTTCCATTATAATCATCCTGCTTTGAGTGTAAGATGGAACAACCTGAATTTTGTTGTAATAACTTGTTCTTTTTTCACTTCAGACATCTTGGCGACCACACGCAAGCACAATCCAGCTCTCGATTCAGCTTATGGTCAGTGGGCATATTTTTTATCTTATTTACTAACCTGCTTCTGCTCAGAACACCCGGATCAACAGGCTTTGATTTTATTTTACTTTTCAAATATATTTTACATATTTCCGTCTCTTTTTTTTCCCTGTTGTTTTTTTTTTTTTCTTAACCCCTATACAAAAAACATTTTTTTATTCATTCTGGTCCTTTGAAGGGAAAATTTCATAATATGCACATTATTTCCTTGACCTCTAGAGTACAAAGTACTCTAGTATAAAGGCCAGGCTTTTTTTTTTTTGTGAATAAATAAAGTAACAAAGTTGTAATATTACAGGAATAAAGTCGTAACATTACAAGAATAAAGTTGGTTGTTATATTACGAGAATAAAGTCGTAATATTACGAGAATGAAGTCGTAATAGTACCAGAATACAACAATCCGTTTCAGAAAGAACGCTTCGAGCTCTGACCAGCACAAGATGGCCGACCAGTTCCAGCAAACAGCAACCTGAGTCCACTGCCCAATATGATGCTGGTGCTAAAAGATTTCCTTATTTGTCAAACCAGAGCCAAAGTATAACTTCAGATTATGCTCAATATTCCTCATTTTAGGGAAGACAGTGCTTCTTGCAAGAGTTGTCATAAAATACAACTTGTTTCTCGTAATTTTAGGAATTTATTCTCTTAATATTACGACTTTATTCTTGTGATTTTATTACTATTCTCATTGTGACTTTATTCTCTTGATGTTACGACTTTATTCTCAAAATTTAAGAAAAAAAAAAATCTCTAATACTCCTAATACTCCGTCATACTAGAGGACTCACATACATAATGTGATATTATTATATTTTTGGATGCATTTGTTTATTTACTACTCAGTTCTCCCATAAATTCAGGTAAATGTGTTCCTGGATTGTAATTCAGGCAGCAAATGCAGATAATACAGGAACATATTTTGATTAAACAGCTTTAGACAAAATGACTAAATGCTTTTTGAATTAATGTCAGGGCTTTGTTTTGTGTGAGAAAGATTTTCAACTCATATGACTCATGATGCTTTGCTATTTCTATTTAATTGGGGCTTGTTTACAGTTTTTAAAGTCTTCAATTTCAGTTAAATTACGAAACAATGGTACTAAAAGGACATTAATAATAGTTTAAATGGGAGCGATGAGGTTTCTCAGAGCTGGTTTGCTCCTGTAAAAAAAACATAATGATAAAAATCAAGACATAAGACTCAACACTATGTCTTCAATAAAATATATATTTTTTATAATTATAAGTGGAATGTAAATTGATTTAAATCTAACTATGTGGGAGGATTTGAGGCAGCTAAATAGATGGAGTCTCTTCTCCCTCTTTGCCAGTTTGACAGTTTAAACATTGAAGCCATTGTGTGGGGCAACACTCCTCTGATGGACCAGGAGCTCCGCTGGCCAAGCTGCCTAATGCCCTGTATCAAGAAAGATCATCATCCCTGTCACGTCCCATTACTTCTCCCGCCAGCCAGGCTGAGCGGCTCCTGGCAAAGCCGGAATGAAAGGCAAAATATAGCGGGTTGGCAATATCTCATCAGAGTGAGGCAGTGCCTGGATGCTTGCGAAATGCAACATTTGCTTTTATACTTAAATGTAAAGCTCCTCTTCACCATTTTTTCAGAAAAGTTGACATTTCTTTTTTTTTTCTTTTCAAATATAAAACTAAAACATGTAGTACACAATGATGAGAGCAGATTCAAATCAGTGATTAGTGTCAATGTAGAGCTTTCATCTTAGCAGGCATGAGAGATTATTGCTCAGCCGAACCATGTTCATCACTCTTGTTTCATTGTCTGAAAAAAAAAGCCATGTTGTTTGCCCAAGCCTTCACTTTGGACCAATACAACCCCCCCCAGTAAGCTTTCCAACTGGAGGAATTGCAACCCAATAGAAAGACTTGATGAGCAATCCACAGCTTAATCCTGCTGGGTTCTCAGCACCAAGATGCTTCGCAGCTCTGTTTGAAATGCTCAACATTCAGCCTGATCCTCAAATGTTGTCTCTAATTGTTTTTGGGGTTTTTTCTTGCTGACTCACAAAAAAAACCTTTTAAATTCCTCCACTTCAGATCAATTATTGGCTCTTTTAGACAATAAAATGCCCCATATGTCAAACAAAGCTGTTGTCATGAGGGATTCTATTTCCCTTTTAAAAAAAAAACAAAAACAAATGGGGTTTAGTCTTTCTATCCTTTTTCCTACCCACACAATCACACCAGGCTGCTGTGTGATTGGTTAGATCAAGAAGCTGATCTTGTTACTGATTATTTCTTGGAGGGGAAAAAAAAAAGATCAGTTATGAGATTTAACTTTACCATTCCCGAAATTTAATTCTGGCAGACTATAAAAAATAATGATGAAGCAGTGGCACTGACGGGGCCAAACACCCTGTGGTGTGCGTTTTTAATTTGCCCAGCACAGATGGTGAAGTGACGGGACACCTCATTCGGAGTGAATACTGTCAACTGGCTCACAGCGAGGAAGAAAACAATCACTTTCCCTCCAGCCGAAGTGTCAGTGCTGCAGAATGCTAACGTTACTGCTGGCTTATTAGTGCTTTAGGGCCACGCCAAAAACAGCATGCTGCTCGCCGCAGTTTAAGGACAACAGAGAGCTTTCAGTTCAATCAAGACATGGAGTGTGTCATTGAAATTAATTTGGTAATAATACAAGGCCTGTGGCGGATAATGCCCAGCATGTTTCTTGGCATATGTCTGATTTGTGTGCTTGTCTGCTCCAACATGACGGTTGGGAATAAGCCTGGATGTTAAATATTAAACGGATTGCTTTTAAACAGAGCTCCTCTAGTCTAGGTAGGAAGGTTACATGGGCTCCACATCCTTCCTTAGGTGTGTTTTTCCAAAGTAGTCAGTTTTAAAAGCGGCAGATCCATCTCCCAGCAAGGAGATTATTTTTTTTTTTTGTAGGCAAGACAAGGCAGCTTTATTTGTATAGCACATTTCAGCAACAGGGCAATTTAAAGGGCTTTACATAAAATCAGTAAAAAAAAAAAATAAAACACTAAAGAAACAGTTAAAAATAAAAACAAAACACAAGAATAAAAATTCCAGTATAAGAGATTAAACGGTAAAGAAATGAACGTCATTTAGAGAAAGGCAACATCAAAAAGAAAAGTCTTCAGCATTGATTTAAAAGAACTGAGAATAGCAGCGGACCTGTAGGTTTCTGGGAGTTTATTCCAGATGTGAGGACCATAGAAACTGAAAGCTGCTTCCCCCTGTTTAGTTCTGACCCTAGGAACTAAACATCATAATTCATGAAAGGGTCATGAATTAAAATGACCCTTTCATTGTAATTCATGCAATGAAAGGAGGAGTTTCTTTTGATGGGCAGGCTATGCTTGTCTTTCAAAACCGTACCAGGACGATACGCTTATGTAAAGCAGGATAGAAATAGGTGGGACAGAAGGACAGGTCAGTATTATAGAGTGAAACGGGAGAAACATTTGGATAAATATGAACAAATAGTAGCCTACTAAACTAGCCCCACCCACCAGCGGCCAAAATCATTTTTGCCTGCGAGTTTGGTCTAGCCTCGATTAATGCCCCAGGCCCTAAAACTGGCGGGCCAATCACAACGCAGAGATGTGTTTTGAATTTCTGGATGCAAAGCAGGCGGGATTTTGAGGGTGTGACGACAAAGCAAAGAAAGCACAACAAGGAAGACGGCAACATCTATTGAACAGTTCTCGTTTGACTCAGCTTTGGAAGGATTAGACTGGGGGTTTTTGTTAAAACGGGAGCAGGAAGAGACTCTGCGCTCATTCATGTTTAAGAAGGACGTATCCGCCATTTTACCGACAGGCTGTTTGTTTACACTCCCCCACCAGCTTCCTGTCGCGCTAACCACGTCACAGTCAGTTGCGCACATAGGTCAGAACGTTGGCCAATAGGCACAGGCATGGCTGAAAGACAACGGTTGTTCTCATGAACAATCTTCTGATGTCTCATTCATCAGGGCTAGACTAAATTACACATTTGATCTCAAATTTAGTCTGCTTTATCAGGCTAAACAAATAGCATCGTCTCAATGTTTTTCCCTAATGCTAATCGGCCACATGCATTAACAGACACATATTACACATGTAAACTGTCTCATTGCAATTCCTAATTCTAAATGTTGCATGACAATCTGATGTATTTGAATGAAATTAAACAGTAAGCTAATACTAATAAGGAAAAAAAATTTATACACATTTTGCAATGTGGTTAGCATTTTGAAGCTGGGTACATTTCAGAAGTTTAACATTTAAGAAATGTCACACTTTACAAACTTTAAGGCCACAGCTAGTTCAAAGTGTCCATTTTAAATTAGAATATGGCTTAATATAAAAAAAAAAATCCTGTTTTACAGAAGAAGAATGTAAGCAGTGGATTTAGGTAATAAAAGGACATTTGAAAGTATAATTTTCTTATTTCCATGTTTGATCTTATCGTTTTTTGTTTGAAAATTACTAGTAAAGCCAGACTAGAAGAGTAAAACCTTGTTTTACAAGGCCTGAAATTAGAAGAAGATTGGAACTTTGATCTTGACTTTTTATATCCACTACTTTACATCCAGCAATGCTCTGATTGACTCTGCAGGGCTTAGGACTGAATTTGTTAATAAGAATACTCACAAGAGGAGGGTCATTGACAAACCAGCCCTTAGGTTATGGGATCAGATGCTTAATCAAAGGTTTAAAATAAGTATAGGCACTTTTAAATTCTGTTATCAGGGAGTTTAGGTGAAATAAAACTAGACATTAATGGACTTTACTGTATAAAGAATGTGTTTGGTGCCTTGTAAAAAGTAGTATAGCATTTCTCTACATCACCACACTGACTTTTCAACCCTGACCTTGGAGCTCCTTTATTTGCAAACACCTTCAATGACTTTAAGAAAACAGTAAAGTTTGCTCTTGCCTTCTCATTCATTCACCCATACTTCTGTTGCACAGCAGTTCAGTTTAACAGGCTTCTAAGTGCAAAAATTTTCTGCAAGAGAGCGGACAGTATCCAGCATTCTACATCACACCACAAGAAAGATTCAAGTATTTAACAGGTTTGGAAGCGTCACTCCACCATCCGTGGCTCCACACTGCCAGTTAGCTGGCTTAAACATAGGAAAAGATGTTTTTCTTTCTTTATTATTAGAAAACAAATCAAATGAACTGTTTGGAGATATCTACTGTTGTAAAATAATGTGAATCAAGGCTAATTCTCACTCTTTTTTAGAGTAAAATTGTTTTGAATTGAGGGTAATCTGACAGTATGTCTGTTAGCATACATAATATGTTAGTAAACGTAATTATAAGTAGGCTACCCAAGCAGACTGCCCAACTTATTAAAAAACAAACAAACCAGTTTGCAGTGTATTCTACCAACAAGAGATCAAAACTTCTAACACTTTTCCGAGTGTATGAATCCAAACCAAGATGATAAATAACAGCAAATCAAGAGGATAAATGACAGTATTTTAATTTGTCATTTTTTACAATTAAATTCTTTAATAGAGTTTTTTTTTTTTTTTTTAGCACTTTAAAACTTTAGAATTCATATTTTTGGTTTTCATATACCAGGAATCAAGCCCTCGTCCATGCCTTTCAATGTACACTGAAGTTTAGAAATTTTAAAAAGAAAATATTATTATCTCAAAATAGGTTAATTTGAAAGTTTATGTATGTGCATTCCGGACATGAGCTTTAAAAATAACATTTCCGAGATCGAGCAGGGGCTACTTGCATTGAACAGAAGTGATTTTCCATATCTTTCAGCATTATGCCTCTTTAATCCACATCTAAAATAGTTTATTGTTGCTCCTGTCATATAGAACCATCTTTCTGCACTACAGCCCAACTTATTTTAAAAGTTGAGCTGATGTATGTAACAGCTTTTCAGTCTTTCATTTTGACTCATGTTTTTCCAGCATGAAACATGCATACTCCATAGTACTAGTATAAGACCACATGGCACAATGGTTTCAGTATTTAACAAAGAACTTGTCACAGAGACGCCTCTGTTCTTCATGAATCTGTAGATCCTCTATTTGTCCATAAATGTAGCAAATTTCAGGGAAGGTAAGGGAATAAAATCTGTTATGTTGTCATTAGCATCTGCTGTGTGTGATCATCATGTTGCTCATCATTATAAGGTGTTTGCTTTAACAGGTGAAGGTTTCCTTTCCACTCAGGACTCATCCTCATTTCTCTAAAGTTTATTCTCCACGCTGTGTCACATTTCACTAATCACTCACTCTGTTGCCCTCCCTTCCTCCTCCTCCTCCTCCTCCTCCCCCTTCGCTACAACCACAGGGAAGACCACACCCACAAGCGCCACCACCACCCATCTTGGGGCGGCATTCCCAAAGGAGGCAGGTGACTCTGAAAGAGGTACAGGTCCTGATCGCCTTCCCCCTGTGGGGGAACAAGGGTCACCTGACTCAGAGCCAATCAGTGTGGAGATGGAGGGTAAGGGGGAGGGACAAGCGTCCTCTTTGATCTCTGACCTGCAGGGGATTGCACTGCTGGGCCCTGATCGTCTAACTGCACATTTCTAACCCGACTAACTTAGAACATGTAGAAAGGATTCACTCTGGTGCAACAATTTCCTGTTTGCAGCATGCATTTCTCCACCATATGTGACAAATCGAACATGTTTTATACATCCTCTAAAGTTTTTCATTGTTTTATTAATATGATGTGCAATTGTCGTGCCCAGAAATCAGCTTGTTTTGGTGCTGAGCAGGAATACAAATGGTGGTATGCATGCTAATAAATGAAAATGTTATTCCAGGGTGAACAATCATTTCGATTAGCTCACTAACACTTAACTCTTAATCTCCGTGAATGGCGGAAAGCATTGCTAATTAACTTTTATCACCTATATACTTCATTAGCCCCCGCGTTATATGCAGTGATGCAGAATTTTCCCAGCCAGCCTCATTTCCAGGCCAGTGTGTGGAAACTGAAGAGCATATTGTTTACATGCAGAGTTAAACATGACTCCAGAGACGCTGACCATGAGTCCAATGCACTCAAACTTTCCAACAGGGATCTGGTACACGTTAACGATATTAAGTCTCGTCCAACACATTTCGTGAAGTAAACAAATCTGCCTTGTCTAAATTGAACTCCTCTAATCAAGTCGAAGAGATCACGCATGCACATTCCTTTTATTTAGCTCCACAAAGATAAATCTCCTTCAGATATTGCACTAACCGACGAATAAAAATAAATACAGCAAAGGGGAGTTTTTAAAAAATGTTGCTTGCACATTTGAACTGTAAAATATGGGATAGGATAAAAAGAAGGTGGCCTTAATTTAGTGTTTTGATGCAGCACTCTTGCAGCAGCCACTGCTCACTAATAACAGATTTTGTTACAGCTGCTTGTCCCACTCTTTCTGAAATGACAGATCTATATTTATCCGATATTTACCATGGATGTTCAATAACATATAGGCTCACGCAGGGTCATTTAAGAATCCATCAGTTTATGTTTTCTGCAGAATTTTTTGACTGCATTCAATTTAATACCACAACAAAGGAGCCAGGACTTGGCTTCCCAACAGTGATTAAAGGTTCCCACTGATGAAGGCTGCAAAACATTGTCTAAACAAAAACAAGTTCCCAACACCTCCAGCTGCAAAGCATCTCAGTAGGTATTTCGAGCTCTTTGTTGTAAGTTAGTTTTCTTCTTTAAAGAAGCTTACTGCATGTTGCCGAGTTTTTTTCCAGGCAACAAGTTGAAATGACACCAGTGTTGTGCACATGCATGAAAGAAGAGAAACAAGCCCAGTTTTTTGCTGCAGCTGCACAGGTCTTTTGTTTAGAGGCATAATGTCATCTGAAGTTGGAGAGTAAAAAACAAAGTTTTTAGTTATTTTGAAATGTGTCCCTTTTGCTCTCACTAGACCAAAGTTATATTCTCTTGTGTGAAGTCTGATTAGGTTTGAGGTTCATTTGCAGCAGTTTATTTTTTATCCACTTTCACACACCATCACCACTGTTCTCTGTCTGTGGCTAATACTTTATGAAGTAGCCAGGTGAACTGGAGATAATAGGATGTTACACTTGTATCTGCACCCAGAGATTACTGACAGAATCCCTCTGTCATAAAGTAACGAATGGAGGCTACAGAGTTAGTAATAGGAAAACTCATCTTACATATGGAGCAATTAGCTTTTTAAACTGCAAAAAAATGAACTTCAAAAACTGATGAGTAAAAAAAAAATCATCTACTTTTGTCTCATCAGTGCTAAGCATATTATAAACTAAGAATATGAAATGTATTAACATTTTTTTTTTATATACTAGATTTTTATTAACGTTGTTAGATGCTAATAGAGCTACCAACAAATGTTCTTTTTTTTCTGTAACAATTATGTTTCACTAGCTTAACGTTTTTTTCTGTAAAAGTCATTTGGTTGTTAGACATAATCAAAGAATTTTTTCATAAGTAAAAACAGTTCCACATACTGTACGCTTTCTGAAGCTGCGACTACAGTATAACATTGACATAGGTATCAGAGTAGACTATAACATAGCTATAATCAGAGAAGCAACTCATCGTTCTTGTGAATCCACTGTTAGAAATGCAAGAAATGGTTAGTTGATAACTTACATGTTACTTTTAATTGCTTTTTCTAGTTTATTCTAAACTATGAGAGAAACATATTTTATGTCTCAATATTAGATATAAGTTAAACGGCATAGAACTAAGAGATGATCAGGTCTATTTCCAGTTGAGTGAAACCATAACATTTAGATACATCTTCACCTTTTAATCCCTAAAAAGCAACAAATATTCAACAACTTTTCTGCAGTTTCTCAACTTGTCTCAAATCACTTTTTTATATAACAGCAATAGAAAAATCTCTGTTTTTACAACAAAGATGACAATAATTACCTTAATAAGTGGCCCTTTACTTTAAATAAAACTTGATGATGTATAGCATTATTTTTTGTATAGAAAATAGGCAAATATGAATCTAATCATGGGTATAAAACACACCACTTTTGAAACAAATGCTGGTTTAAAAATAGAACTCTCTGCTTGATTGATTCATATTTAAATAATTTTTCACTCTACTGATAAAAATCTGCTAAGATGTAATTGTAAAATAATGTTTTTTATCTTCTTTTAGCTGCAATTCTAATGAAATTGACATTAAAAACCAAAGAAATGCCTCTGAAATAGGCTTTTAAAAACTAATTTAAGCTTTAAGAAAATATGTTGCTTCACCTGTTCTTCTGTCTCAAATGATCTCCTTTGAGAGATGGTTATACAGAATCTTTTCTCCAATCTATGGAATATTTTTTTAGTGCTTAGTTACGTCTGCTGGCTGATTCTTCTCTCTTTAGGGAGGCCCCAGGCATCCTTATATTACCAACTTACTATAAAGCCTAGAAAAGTTTTATATTGTAAAACCAATGTGCAGAAACAATGTAAGACATTTATTAGTAAAAAAAAAAAGTTAAGTGAAGCTCTTGCCAGCTACCTGACTTTATTTATGCCCTAACGTTGCTGCAGTTCAGCACATGGTGACTTCTGCAGAAGTCCATTGTATTAAATTATACAACACTTTGGAGTATTGCAGTTCGTAAATTTTGCTCAGTTCTTTAATATAAATATATCTTTGCTGATTTAAATCTTAGCATTTGACTGCTTTGTTCTGTAGCTAATATTGAAAACTACTGAGGTTATGGGCACTTAGATATTGGCAAATATATGAAGGTTGTTTTCCACCTTTAGAAGCTTAGATTGAAGCTTTGTTCAGCTCTCATCCTAAAGTTTACAAAGTTTATTTCTGCACATTCAGGAAGGAGATGGAGATAACTTAGAGAGGATCCTAGAACAAAGCAGCCTGTCTGTGTTTTGTTCTTTTCTTGTGGCTTTGTGGACACAAAGACCGTGTCACTAGACCATAAAACCTCAGGAAGTAAAAGAAGCTTTCATTCACACAGAAAGCTGCTGTGGTTGCAATGATGAGCTTTTCTGGCCCAAATAAGAAAAACCTGCAACAAATAAATAACCAGCAGGAATCTGAACCCGACAGTCAGAGAACATGAGTGCAGGACGGGTATGTGATATGATACAGACCACGCAGCGGCACAATCCACTCCTGCCAGAGGCTGTGACACGGCGTTTCAATCAGAAAGAACGGATGGCTGGTTGATAATCTGGGAGAGGCGGTGGGCTGGAAGGAAAAAAGCATCTATGTTCACAGGGATTCTTGTCCCACTATTTTCACTTCCTTTTTTATACCAGATACCTTTTCAACAGTCTCAGACATCTCTGCAGTAACAAGGTAGATATTTGGAAGCACAAAAAAAGAACAACCAGTTAGGAAAGGAGAAAAAACTCTTTTGAATAAAGGTTTCACAACACGCTGTACCGGTGCGCCAAGACATAGAGATAAGACAACGAAAGCTCATCCTTTGTCCTGTTTTAAGATTTCATTTTTTCCAAATAAATTTGTTGTAGCATACATTGACTTTGATGATTGAACCCATAAACATAAGGCGCAAAAATCCACTCACAATAATGCATTTTCTTTTATCAGCTACACTGATTAATTAGCCAATATATAATATAAAACATAAATCGATTTATCATTGCTTTTTTACCTTGCAAAGATATAGCTTCTAAGATCATGAGCATACATAGATGTGTGTGTGCAGGCAACTCTTCTGTATGCTTCATTTAAAAACTGTGTCACTATGATTCATTTACACATTTTTACCTTAAATACCTTTATAAATAAAACTGCCTTTTTAGAGATAAGAGGAGAATCTAAAGATTATATTTTGCAAAACAGCCCATGTCTAGCAAAACTGTTGCTTTGCAATAACAGATTAATTTATTTGAAACCTTAGATAAATATATATTTACCAAGGAGTTCCATTTTATTAGAAAAAAATGCAAATTACTAAGAAGGTTTAAGGAAAGAATTCCAAATATTTGGTCTGTTAGCAGAACTTTTCACCTAAAGAATTTACTTTCTGGTCCTTTTTTGCATTTTTAGGAATGTTTCATTTTCTGTTATATCAGATGTTTGTTTTTTAAAGATGCTTTTAAATGACTATACTAATATTTTTACAGCAGATGACGTGCAGCTTATGCTTTAACATACCTACATGAGGAGCTAGAATATAAATCCTCAAACAGGCCTTATTAAGGTGTTTCAAAAGAAGAGTTTTTTTTATTGCAAATATTAAGTTTCCTCCGGCTATATGAATTTAGTATTTAAATAAAAAGACATCCGGCAGCACAGATGTTTTTAATTAGGTTAGACCAGAAGTTGCTAATCAACACATAATTTTGTCTTATTAATCAAACAGCCCATGTTGCAACAGTCAGAAACCGCATTTCTTAAATGTGCTAAAATCTCTTTATTTTAAAGTCTGAAAAATCCTGATGGCTCAGATTAAAACAGAATCAGAAGTCTGCAAGTGTTTTAACTTATT